CAGACCATTTCCCATTGTTCCCTTGGTCCTTTCCCATGATTCTGTTCAGACCAAGGTTGCTACCAAAATTCACTCATCGCCTGGTAGGCACACAAAATAGGAGAGAAAAATAAACCCTCTGACATTTTGCTTGCATTGAAGTCAGACAGGTAAAGACATGTTGTACAAAGTCAGAAAACTCCATGCAGTGCATATGAAATGACAAACAGATGCCAACGGCCATGGTCACAGCCATGTGTACCCTCTGCCTTCTCCTCATAGAGACAGAGAGGTGCCCCGGCCGCTGAAGGGAGCAGAAGAGAAGCCTATGCTTTTCATTCTGTCCTACCCCTGTGAGGAAGTACAGGCTGAAAAAGGAGAAAATGGGAAATCTCAGTCCCTCTAAAAGAATCACTCTGGGAACTGCTTTGTCTTCAGATCACCGACTTCACATCTGCTGAGGACAAGCTGGGGGAGAGGTCTGGGATCATCACCCGGAATAAAGGTTGGATTTCTACAGCAGTAGTTATCTATAGGCAGATGGAAGCAGCCTCACATTCACAAACCCTGGTCTTCATGGGGGACTTCAACCACCCCAATATCTGTTGGAGGGACAACACAGCAGGGCAGAGGCAATCCAGGAGAACCACCCACTGTAGGAGAAGATTGGAACCTGAAGGTGCACAAGTCCATAGCACCTGATGAGATTGATCTGTGGGTCCTAAGGGAACTGGCAGATGAAGTTGCTAAGCCACTATCCATCATATTTGAGAAGTCATGGCAGTCTGGTGAAGTTCCCACTGACTGGAAAAGGGGAAAAATAACCCCCATTTTTAAAAAGGGAAAAAAGGAAGACACAGGGAACTACAGGCCAGTCAGTCTCACCTCTGTGCCCGGCAAGATCATGGAGCAGATCCTCCTGGAATCTACATGAAGGCACATGGAAAATAAGGAGGTGATCGATGACAACCAACATGGTTTCACTAAAGGCAAATCATGCCTGACAAAATTGATGACATTCTACAACAGGGTTACAGCATTGGTGGTAAGCAAAGAGCAACTGACACCATCTACCTGGATTTTTGCAACACATTTGACATTGTCCCTTACAACATCCTTGTCTCTAAATTGGAGAGACAATGATCTGATGGATGGACCACTCAGTGAATAAGGAACGGGCTGGATGACTGTACTCAAAAAGTTGCGGTCAACAGCTTGATGTCCAAGTGGAGACCAGTAATGAGTTGTGTTCCTCAAGGGTTGGTACTGGGACTGGTGCTGTTTAACATCTTTGTCAGCAACACGAATGATGTAATTGAGTGCAAATTTGTTGATGACAGCAAGCTGTGTGGAGCAGTCAAAATGCTGGAGGGAATGGATGCCACCCAGAGGGACTTAGACAGGCTGGAGAGGTGAGCCTGTGCAAACCTCATGAAATTTAACAAGGCCAAGTGCAAGGTCCTGCTCCTGGGTTGAGGCAATCCCAAGCACAAGTCCAGGCTGGTCGGAGAATGGATGGAAAGCATCGCTGAGGAGAAGGACTTGGAGGTGCTGGTTGATGAGAAGCTCAACATGAGTGAGTAATGTGTGCTGTCAGCCCAGCAAGCCAACGGGATCCTGGGCTGCAACCCCAGCAGCGTGGCCAGCAGGGCAAGGGGGGTATGTGCCCCTCTGCTCCACTCTGGGGAGACCCCACCTGGAACATTGTGTCCAGCTCTGGAACCCTCAACATAAAAAGGACATGGACCAGTGGTCCAGGTTGCCCAGAGAAGCTGTGGCTGCCCCATCCCTGGAGGTGTCCAAGGCCAGGTTGGACGGGGCTTGGAGCAACAAGGTCTGGAGGGAGGTGTCCCTGCCCATGGCAGGGGGGTTGGAACTAGGTGATCATTAAGGTCCCTTCCAACCCAAACCATTCTGTGATTCTATGTTCTGTGATCATGGACTGATGTTCTTCTAACCCTCCTTGTCTGAGGTGGAGCCACACAATTGTCCTACTTACTTGAAGCCCTCCCCACGTCTCTGTAACCAGCTCTCACTGCCAAAGTTGCATGAACACCATCATCCTCAAATCTTCTGTCTCTCTTCCCAAACTTGTGTGAAAACTGCCAGCTGGGATGGGGCAGGCAGGGAAACACACATATATATACACAGGGCCCTTAATTTCTGCAGAACCAAGCCAAAATGACTTTGGTAGAGGATTTTAGATTTCTGTCTGCAGTACTCATGGGAGGTGCTTTTGTTCTTATCTCCTTAGCAAAAGGTTCAAGTGAGGCCTCTTCTCTGTTTCCTTGCATACCCATATCCTCATAGTTTTGTCCCTTGAATTCTCTTATGGATGTTTCCTTGGGTGTCTAAGCATTTCCATAGCCGCCTTCTCTTCTGGTATTTGCTGCTAAAGATGTAGTGCTGAGAACAAAACCTATATTTTGGTGCCCTGCTTTGCATCATCATGCTCCATGCGGTAGCCTCTTGTTTTCTGTTGGCCAGCTTTGCTCATTGAGCAAAGAGTATTGAAAGAGATACGTTTCTTTTGCCCAGACTGCTCGATGCCCTCCATTGGGCTGACAGGACATGAGGAAGAGGTATCTGGAAAGAGGGAAGGGGCAATAAGGAATGAGCTGCAAATTAAGACAAAAAGTGAACATCCCAAAATACTGCGTGAAGCATAAAAAGTTGAGGTAGTTCAGTTTGGAAACTTTTCACTTAGATGATCTAAACCTACAAATACAGAACACAATAACATATGAAGTATAGTACACCAATGTTATAAAGCTTAAAAAATTAATGGGTCACACTGAAATGTCAATGACAAAGCCAATATATTGCATTTTGATTTTGCATGACTCCAACACGTTCCCATCAAATCCATACGCAAAAGCGATGTGCTCTCTCAAAACACAAATACCTTTCAAGCAAGACACAGCATCGACTTGCTTTCATCAGACCTACTTACAGCAGAGAAATATTAAAAAAACATTTCCTTTCTCGCCCTAATTATTGAACAGTGTATGTAGTAGCAAAGATGAATTTGCTGTAATGAATTTTATGATGTTTTAAATAAGGACAAAAAAGTCTCTTTCCTGTTTATTCCTTTGCAGCGACATAGCTGGTCTTAATTTGCAAAACTAATGCTTCCGTGTAGCAAAATGAACCACTCTCACTACCTCAATTTACAAGTAGGGAAACTGAGGCACGAAGAACAAACTTTCTTTCCCCAAGGCCATTGCGTAAACGAGCAGCAGGATGGATCAAAACCCATAGCAGCAGTGCCCTGCTGTAACCACTAAGTCGCACCACCCACATCTAACACCGACCGTTACCAGTTTGTAAATGCTACTGATGGGAAAGACCCACTGGGTCCTTTCACAGTTCCCTGTAAGAGCAGGTTTTTTTTCCATGCCTTGTGCTGTACAAGAAAGTGCTCCCTACAATCCCCACATTAAAGTAATTCAAGCAGGAGGACATCTCTCATTTCCTTTGGGGGAAACAGTTCTGCAGCTGAATAGATTGCAGCATTAGGAAATATTTCCTGATGTCCAGTGCCTGCCACAGCTTCTAGAATCTGTTGATATATTATTAATAGAAAGGAAAATAAATATAGGTATTAATGCCAACAGACACTGTCTACTACTAATAGCTGCTAAAGTAATATATTCCCCTTGTTTTTAGCTTTTATTAGTCTTTTTGCAAAGGGTTACAAGACCCTTATGCATCCATTAGCCAGTCAGCCATGTGAAATTAATGTGGAGCAATTTTCATAAGCATTACTCAGAACTAATAATAATTAAGCATTATTTTCTGCTCAGATAACACAGAAAATAAAGTCTGACTTTTATGCCAAGATGGGTTTGCATTAGCTTAAGGTAGATGAATTAATTCTCATTTACAAGGCTTCTCCACCAGCTAGCCAGAAAATATCAAGGTAATTAAAACCAATTTGTGAGGTTCTGTCCCATTGCACATTCACTGAGTTTTATCATTGCTGCAAATTACAGGTGCTTTTATGCTGTTGCAAAGGTGGGACATGAAGGAGACCTTGCTGCTTGCCTCCTTCCCCATCACTTCCAAGAGAAGCAACCTCCTTGCAAAGACCAGAACGCATCTTGCGATGCACGTTGCTGGAGAAGCAATGAAGGTCAACGAGTTGCATGAAGGACCAGCTCATCCCTCAGGCTGGGATGCGGACCCCTCAGCAACACATGCAAAAGGCCTCTAAAAGAGAAAAAACAAATGTTGTTTCCTTTTGATGTACCATTTATTTGCAAGGGATTAATTTTAGCTAATTACAAAGTCAAGGGGTTTCTACAGACAGAATTTTATGGATAGGTCAGAAACAGTGCTCTTCAGCCAGACAGATTTTTCACTATTGCCTTTAACAACCAAAACTCAGCATTTGCAAGTCAGGTAAATAAGACTGATTATTTATATGATGCTACACTTTCCAACACTGTCCCCAAAATTTCTAGTCCTTTTTCTAGCTTAAGGAGACACTGAATTTGACATGTAGTCATGTCCCAGGAGCTTCAAATATCACCTGAGCAGCTGCTGTGGTCTCTGAAGATGCTCTTAGCTTGGCCCAGCTGCAAGATAGAAGATGCATTAGTTCAGCTAATAGTTAGCTGTAAGAGGTATTAACCCAGAACTATCCTACCAACAGCTGAGCTATGGAATAAGCTAAGACCTTTCTTAGGGTTTCAGCTTTCTGAGGCGTGCAGCTCCTTCAGATGCCACATCTTTTCTTCGCATGTGAGTTTAGCAAAGAACTGGGCCTGATGTGACCCACCAGCATGGAAAACCTGTGTTTTTCAGAAGAGTATGGCTTCTCTTATCTGTGTCCCAGCTCTCTCATTTCACCTCTCCGGCCTCTCCATCGCTTCCCTGTCTCAATGTGGCATCTCATTTTAGTGTCTGTATCCACATCTGTGAGATGGAGCAGGTTGACCTGAGACATAACTATACAGGTCAGCAGCAAAAGAACGCGATGGTAGTTCTGACTTTTATTATGTTTAGAAAAATCTTCTCTAGAGTAATCTAAATGCTATGAAAGAGATAAATAAAAGGAAAGAATACTCAAGAAACACCAGATGTGTCTCAGCCCTGGAAGGAACCACCCTGGCATTTCCATTGTTATCCATGCCTTCAATGAAGAAAGGTTTCCCCCTTATGGCTGTCTCGGTCTCGATCCAGCCTCGGTAGCTGTAAACAGATGTTAAGATCTCATGGTTTGGCTTTTCTGCACAATCTTCTCCCCAGCTGACGATGCCAACCTGAAACCACTTCATGGTGTTCCAGTAGCTGCAAACCAGAGGTCCCCCGCTGTCCACCTATGGCATAAGGAAGATGTTACAGCAGGATCAAACCTCAGGTATCTCACAGCAGCTGCATCCCACAGGCAGACTGGGAAAATCAGACTGTCCCGAGTTCGTGAAGATTTGAGGGAACAAATCAGCCCTGAGATCCCTGGAGAATAAACAGATACAGAAGGTAAGAGGAGGAGATCAACCACAAGCTCTGGCTCAGTGCAGTGCCCTGTCCTTCTCAGCCTTATCCACAGCTCTTGTGGCCCCAGAAGGATACCTGAATCCTGTCACCAAGAGACAACATCCAGCAGTGAAAAGGGACATTTGCTGTGACTGCTCATTCAGTCCTTGACTTCTCTGCAAAACTGGTGCATGTAGGTGCCACTGTTCATTTTGGGGGCTAGCATGCAGAAATTGGACAGGAGATGAGCACTAATCCTGACAAATCCTTTTTGCAACCACACTAATTTCACCGCAAACTTGCCTGCTACTGGAAGGGCAACCTTCACTCACCCAGTGCGTGCAAGCCTTCCAATGCACGTTGCCCTCACCCTGCAAAGAGGAATGTCCTTCTGGTGGCCACTGTAGCTTGAACACCGAGAGCACATCCAGTTGCCCGTATGACCTCTGCGTGTGCCATCTCCCAATACAACCCGAAGGAGAAAAGAAACCAGCACAAAATCCACCCAGCCAGGTAAACCACTTTTCTGACACTTGTGTACATTAAGTGCTGTGCAGCCCCTACTCAAAATGATTTTCCTTCCACGGTGGGTTTGAATCTTTTTCTACCCTATCCCAGTACACGTGGCAAATAAATTCCATACAAACCCATTTCCCAAGACAGTCAGCTTTCCTGGGAATTGCTGCCCTTCCCACTTTGCACGCTACTTTGAGAAATGTCTTTGTCATTAATGTATGAACCCCCTTCTGCCAGCAGCTACCCTGAGCTAACACATTAATTAATTAATGAGTAAGGAAGCAGCTGTAGTCTCCCGTGCAACTCATCAGCACCCACTAAAGTTTATGGCTGAATTTCAACTCACTTCACTAGATGGAAGGCCCAGGTCATCAATTTGTTTATCTTTCTTATTTGTTTTTTTCTATTATTCTTTTTGCTTCAACATGCCTAGAGGAGGGGAAAATGCAGATAAATACAGAGCAAGTGTTGCTTCAGCATTCATAGAATCATTTAGGTTGGAGAAGACCTTTAAGATCGTAGAGTCCAACCCGTAAATTCAATACTGTTTGCACTGAAATGGTGTTACTGTAGCTACGTGTCTGCATCTCAACTGGTGCTGCTGGAACCTCTTCAGACTCAGGATCTACAGACGTTTCCCGACCCTGTTTCAGCCAAGAATTTGTGTGAATCGCACTAGTGACCTTGCAGTGACCTTGGATCCATGCGTTATTGGTGTCCTTGGCAATGGCATCCTGTTTGAATGAATGAACATCTCCTCGGCTGTGCGCGCAATTAAATTACTGGGAATTTTACTGCTAATTCCCTCAGGGCAGGAACAGGCCAAACGTATTATCCTGGTAGCGAAAGGAAGATGCTTCGAGCCTCCTACACAAAGATAATAAATGAAGTCGAGAGAGTGGGAGCCGTCTGCAAGGCAGTGACGCAGCAAGGGCTGACGATCCCTCGTCGGTGACACGTCGGGATGCGTCGTGCCGTTTTTTTCCCAGCACAGGAGATTTTTAGCCCTGGCAGAGCCCCCACATACCATCGGGGCAGGTCGGTTTCAGAGTGTTCAATTTGGAGGCTGTTCACACTTGCAAAGGACCTTTCTCCCAGGGCACTTAGATACCAGTTAATTCCTGATACCTTGTGACTCTCCTCGGGGGGAAAGTCTTATCGTATTTCACAGCTGAGAAAACCACAGCAGAAAAGGGATTTGCACGGGCAATGGCAGAGCCAGGAACCCCTATTTAAACTATACATCCTATACTATATAAACTATACATTTCCTCTCAAATCAGATCTGATTTTCCCTCTTTGCCCCTTTAATCACATTTGTTTTGTGCTCTGCCCAGTCAGTGAGGAAAGGGAGAGCTGTCTGCAGGGCGAGGGGGACTGTCAGCTGCGGAAAGCAATTTAAAACCTGGGCAGAGAGGGAGTTAGGCAATGCTGTGAAAACCCAGGCAGCAGCTGCAAATCCATTTCTCTAATCCACCAGCCCCGATCCAACCAAATCCCACTTCAGATCCCTTCCCACGTGGGCTGAGACGGTCTGCTTCATGGGTGCAACTTCTAACATGCCATTTCTCTTAACTTCAGCTATTTAACTCGACGATTTTATCGCAAAGTGGGTAACTCATCCTCTCCATGTGATGATTTTGCTCACATAATTATAGCAGTAGCCCAGATGAATCAGTAGCCTGTTTTTTCCAGGGCTAAAGACAGAGAAAATAAACTCAGTTCTTGGACACTTCTGAATATCCCCGTATCCACCTTAAGCTCTCAAAAATGTTGGCCCAAGGTTTTCCATCCTCGTGTAGGAGGAGCGAGTTTGGAGCACTGGTACAATTATCTCAGCTCTGTGATGTTTCCAGTAGCACTAATTTAATGAATGCTCAGGTTAACGACTCTGAAGATCGAAGAATTTATTAAATGCTGCTTTCAGCCTCCTGAATCCTGGTGGTGAAATACAGGTCAGCAACACACACCAGATACCTGCTCCTGCTCTTCAGACTGAGCGCCAAGTTTCTGGACAGCCAAACCCCTAAAAATAGCATCTTTGCTTCTGTTGCATGTTTTTTCTCAACTAGAAGATGAGTGAAAAGCAACGACATCAAATCAGAGCTGGTGTTGACCTCACGCCTTCCACAATGGCATGTTAATCCTCCCATTAGGAGAGGTGAGAGCAACGATATATTCACTGATAAATAGTTCTGGCTTGTATAAAAACTGTCACCGACTAACAAGGCACTTTGTTCACTGATGCTGATCAAAAGTTTCATCCTTTCCACCACGGCCAAAGCCTTTTTGTGAACATCAGGAGCCTTTCTGCTGACTTTAGTGGGCTTTGGATGAAGAGTGTAATCTTCTTCCTTTCGTATTTGTATTCGTGTCTGCAACATGGCAATTGATCAGAACAAACACGTTCGGCCATATAAATCTTCTTAGGTGGGAAAAGTTCTGGGGGAGGGAGAACAACCCATCTGATACTCATTAGGTGGATACACAGTCCTTGCAAGTCATTGCTGGTTTCATTTCCACGTTGGTAACCTCTGTGTAAATTGGAGAGAATCGGCCTGTGAATAACACCACTTGCCATCAGAGCTGCCCTGGCTGCAGGAAGGGAAGGCTTTTGCAAACAGATGATTTCTTCAGTTATTTCAGCATGAACAAGCCATCTTTAGAGAAAGGTGGAAGGAAGGAGGCTATGGCCATTTTTAGCATGCTGGTATTGAAAAAGAACCAGGTAACACAGGGGACCCAGACTCCTTTCATGGGATCCCTTCAAGATCTCAAGTCAGAGCCTTCAGCTTCTCTGTCTCTCCAACCGCTTGCTGGAAGATGGGAAAACAAGACCGCCCAACTCCATCCACGCAGATGTCAGCAGGGTCCATCAGTGACTATGGTGGCACGGAATTAAAGGCAGTTATGGTGCATCTGGGCAAAGACCCCTGTGGCCCAGAGTCCTGTCTCTGACAGTCGTCTGTAGCCAGTGTGCAGGGAAGGAGAATGAGAAGCAGGGCAAGTATTTACAGAGTGGTAGTTACATCAAAGTGGTTAATAGCCTTAGAGAGATCTTCATCCAGGAAGTTATCTAATTGCTTTTTGAATCCATTTATCCCTTAGGATAAATACCCACAACATCCTGGTCAGTGACTTCCACAGTTTAATTATCCGTTGGATGAAAAAACACTTCCTTCTCTTTGTTTTAAATCTGCTGCCTGATACAGCCGTCTGACACCCCCTCCTTCGTGTGTTTTGAGCAGTAGTGACAAGAGGACAGCTCTTGACTGTCTTCTCCTTGCTGCTCATGACTTCAGAAATCTGTGTCATATCCCCATCCGACATGTCTTTTACAAGCCTCAGAGCTCTGCTCTGTTATTCCCCTTTCTGCCAGAAGCCGTTCTGTTTCCCTGTTCATCCTTCCTACTCTACTCCTCTCCTTTTCTAAAACTACTCCTCCGTTCTCAGGTGGGGTGGACGGGAATCGCACACAGCACACAAGATGCAGGCTCCCAAGATTACTGCCCTGGCATAACACGCTTTTTGCTTTGCTACTTATTCCTGTCCTAATAATTCTTAATGCTCTTGTTGCCTTTTTGACCTCCACAGACCCTCGTGCTGATGTTTTTGAAGGACTATCCACAGTTACTCCAAGATCTTCCTACATGGTAATAGCTAATTTAGAGCCTATTATTGCATGCGTACAGCTGGAGTTGCTTCCCCCTACATTCATTACTCTGCCTTTATCAACAGCGAGCTGCATCTGCTGTTTTAACCTCCAGTCACTCAGAATAATGAGATCCCGCTGCACCTCTGCACAGTTTTAATTTCCACCGCTCTGAACAATGCTGTGGCATCGGCCGACCTGGTTGTCTCAGCGTTTGCCCTCCTTGAACATCACAATTCCTTGCACAGGTGCCAACACAACTTCCCTTGTGAGCCCCCTCTCCCACCAAATCCTTCTCCATGTTGCCTCCGTTTCAAACCGAAGCCCTTCTACTTCACGACAGTACAGTTTCTCCACAGCCTTTGGTGACAAATCTCATTAAAAGAGTTTTGGAAATCTCAGCGTGTTATATCAGCTGGATCACCCTCTGCCACATGCTTGTCGACTCCTTCAAAGAATTTAAATTTGTCTGTGAGTCACAACGTTCCCTTAAAGCCCTGTTGACTCACTGGAACTGAATGAGAAGCATCTCCTCTGAGTCATCGCACCCAGTCCCCCACTCCGGGGCAAGCACAAAGTAGGTTTCCCTGTTCAGCCGGATCCAGAGATGTTCTGCTCCCCACAGCTTCACTCACCAGGCACACAAAGTGATGCTGGACCTCCTTGCTGCAAACC